GCTTTAATTTATGGTGCTTTCACTTCCTGAGACAGTTGTTGGCACTGTGTAACTGCCTCGAGGGTGCTTTACCATGTTAACACAACGGGGTGCGATCATCCCCCTTGCGCGGAGTGAGGCGTCTTCACCCCGCACAACATGCTCTACTCGACCACCATTATGGTTACCGCCAAAAAAAAAACAGAGGTAAAAAAAACCCCGGTAACCTGGTTGCCGAGTTCACGAAGTGAATTGGCTTGTTTTACAACGTCGTTGCCAAGCGACGAAAACCCAATCCCGATGGCAAACACGGAGGGGGGGCTTGTTTTACAACGTCGTTGCCAAGCGACGAAAACCCAACCCCGATGGCAAACACCGGGCGGGGAAGCAGGGGGGGGGAAGATCAGCAGGGCGTGTTGTACTGTAGGTTTGCGTAAGATACCACACACCCTTGATAGATTTTCAAAGCTCGATTACTCTACAAAAAGAGCGCCGGGGTGGGGGGGGGGGGTNNGGGGGGGGGGGGGGGGATCAGCAGGGCGTGTTGTACTACAGGTTGCGAAAGATACTACACCCCCTTGAAAGATTGTCAAAGCTCGATTACTCTACAGCAGAAAGAGTGGCGGTGCCGAAACGGAGCCGTCTCGTCGAGAGCATTCCGAAAACGCATTACTGTCTCATCATGTATGAGTCCTCTTCGTCGTGGACTAGTCGAGTTTTGAAAATCGGTCCACGGGGCGGTCGTATTTTGTGCCACCTATTTACTGCAGGTATGTACAGTGGGATGCATTGCTGATTGCGTCGGCAAGTTTCGGTTGGCCGAGGTCTGGCGCACCACAAACACAAGGCGTGTGCCCCGCGTAGCCACCCACTCCTACCTCTGTGTTTGGTCGTCGATGCGGTTGCGTGATTCGTGCTTCTTGAAGGCGGCTCGACAAACCACCGCTGGAATAGATACCAGCTTTTTGTAGGTGGACACGTCACTGCACACCGTTGTGGTAGGATACGTCGTATCTACAAAGGCCGCCCCCGCCGGCATCACACCCCCTCATGCATGTTCTTGGAACGAAAAGCGTCATGTTTGACGTACTTTCGTGTTCACGAAAATGTAAGGGCCATTCATTTACAAGCCTTGTTGCGAGACCTCCCTGCTACCACGGCCTTTTACGGAAATATTGGGACCATTGTTGCATTGAATCAAGCTTGTCGCGCCAGTAGTTGGATGTGCTTGTGCATCTGGACTATGCGCGTCAGTCGAGGGTCCTCGCCTGTGGTGGATAGTCCAGATGCGTAGCACATCCAACAACTTGCGCAACAAGTTTGATTCGACGCCACAGTGGCCCCTAATTTTCTCCGAACAGCCGTGGTGCACGGCGGGCCAACGAGGTGGTTTAAGCTGAAGCACCCCTTGTCTGTCACAACTTGTGTGCTGGTTTCTGCAGACCATGATGGCACGACCGCAACGTGTAAAGCTCGTCTCGTGTTGCTCTCTCAGCCGTCCGCAGCAAGAGAGCGATTGGCCAATCGCGGGCTGCGCATCTCGCCACCTCCGCGCCTCCTTGTCTTTGGAGACCTTGTGGCTCGCGTACGATGCATGTTGCCGCTGTCGCCTACCGAATCTGTCGACCCTCAGTCCTCTGTTGCTCTCACCCCTCTGATCAACCCCTGCCATGTGGTAGGCGTTTAACGACAGGCGCTGCATCGCCGGCATCGGCAAAGGGAGCGCCGCTGGGGCCGAAGGCGAAGCGACCGCGGACCAACTTCTTGTCCTCAGCGCCGAAGACACCACGGCCTGCTGCCACGGGTTCCACTGCGGATTGAGGTACGTATGTGCAGTAGACGACGTCATGATCGATGTTTCTGCAATCGTCGGAATTTTCTCGTCATACCTAATCTCACAACATTCCCTTGAATACAGCAGTGCTACATCATTCGCGAGGTGGGAGAGCCAGTCACCTACATAGTGTTTTGACTGGTGAAGCCCCCCACCCTCAATGATTTTCACATGGTAGCCTCTGCGGACATGTACATTTTTTGTTTGCGTTCATTTTTCCGTCGTGATGCAACCCTTCCAGAGCACTCTCGAGGGCACGACGAGCACCGCCTGCTCAAACTGCTACACCTACCACATGTAGCGAGGATTTCACGGAATGTTGTGCGCTCTCGTCAATAGCTTCCTTTCAAAACCTACACCACTCCTTTTTGTTGTTTGCTTGATGCTGGTACGTATGACAGCATGGGATGCAACGGCGGCCAGCCGGGGTCTGCCTGGAAGTGGTTCACGAAGACCGGTGTCGTTACCGGTGGCGATTACGCCGACATCGGCACTGGAACAACGTGCAAGGCGAGTCTTGGTCTTGTCTATTTTTTTTCTTCCTTCTCGCGTGCCTATTGATGAGGCAGGGCATGCGAAACAAAGCCGCATCGTGTATGTTTCTCCCCAAAGACGAGTCTTTCTTTCGTCTTTTTTTGTTTGTTGTTCTTGTCGCGTGCGTGTTGATATGACCGGGCATATCGGTAAGACAGGGCACGCAAAACAAGCCTCAATGTGTGTGTGTGTTTCCCTTGACAATATCCCTTCGTTCCGGTGCCATGCTGTTGAGAGCCTGGCGGACGAAACCGGATGACGCCCTCTCCATCCCAACTTGGCACGGACAACAAGCTTCCGCTCCTGTGCCCCCCCCCCGTAAGACTCGGAAACGGTGTCCTTTTGTGGGCCCGCGTTATTCATGCTGATTCATCCGGCAACCAAACACAAGAAACAAGGCTAGTGTAACCTCAACCACTGCACCGCTCCATTTTTATCGGTGTTCCTTGTCCTGCCCAAACTCCTCTACCCTTACCACAGCCGTACGAGTTCATGCCGTGCGCGCACCACGTGGACCCCGGAGCGTCGGGCTACCCCGCCTGCCCTGACGGCGAGTACCCCACTCCCGAGTGCCTGTCGGAGTGCTCCGAGATCAACTTCAGCGGGGGAAGCTACGGCGAGGACAAGAAGATGGCGAGGGAGGCGTACTCGCTGGCGGTGAGGAGGAGAGGTCTCCATTTTTTTTTTTTTTGGTGGTTGCATGTCGGATTCTTTTCGACGTCTTTCGCGCCTCCTTGTTGTATTTATTTTTATTCTTGACGTCGACGTTTGTCGGGCTAGGTGGTGTTTTTGAGAGGCAGGCAGCATGTCTTTTGTCTTATTTCTTTTGGCGCATTGTGATTTCAATGTTGCATGATGTTGCTCCTGTTGTTGGTTCTCTGGCTTTGCCTCGAGGGAGATGAGGGATACCTCCGCACCGAGGGAACCGTGCACCCCTCACTCAGCGTGTTTCAGTACGCTTGGCAGGTCCTACAGTTGTATCACGGTCTGATGCTATTCTCCGTGCACCCTAAACTCACATCGTGTGCTTCAATGACATCCCTTTTCTTCAGTGCGCTTGGCGATGCAAGAAGTAGCTGGCTTTCACCATTGAACCGCTTTGGTAGGTTATAGTATCACGGTCTGATGCCCTTCTCTCTTTGAGCAGCGCAACGATCTGATACCCCCCGCGCCCATGGTGCCCCCCTCTCGTCAGGGCATCGAGAATATCCAGCGCGACATGATGAAGTACGGGTCCGTGACGGCCGCGTTTTCAGTTTTCTCGGACTTCCTCACCTACTCTGGCGGCGTCTACACCCACGAGTCCGGTAAGAGGGTTCATTCCAAGTGGCGTGTGACTCTCGCGTGATGTACAGCTCGCGAACGGTTGCAAGAATCGTCACGAACGGTCACACGAAATCGTTCGAGCTGATGATTTACGCTCCTACTGACGACCGATATGCCCTCCCAAAACCAGGAAAATACGAAACGAACAAGAACATCACACCCCAATATACTAGTTGTGATGACACTTGGCTCGCACGAGCCCACTACGGAGGGATGGTTCACGAGACTCCTTTGAGAACATGTGTATGTACTGCCGACAAGAAATTCCGCACATGCCAGGTTTCGAATTTTTCGGGCGTTCTTGATTCGTGGAAAAACGATTGGTCGGCGTTAAATGTATCCTCTGAGCACGGGAGACACGGCAGTTGCCTTTCCTCTGCCAAACGAATATCAGAGTATTGGGTTAGAGTTTTAGGGGTTAGGCGCCACCACTGGAGGACCTCGCGTGTTGGCCCGGGGCTCGTATGGGTTTCTTGAGCTAGCACCTATCCCTCATGACGAAGTTGTTACACATTCGATGTTTTCGAGCCTGACGCTCTTTACTTCGCCTGACGCTCTTCTCTTTACGTAACTACCGGGTTCTTTTCTAGTAGCGGTGGCGCGTTCTGTACTGCATAACACGAGCACGCACACCATAAGTAGGTGGAGGTCGTTGCCCCTTTCGATTCGACGAAGGCAAGAATATCGAAGGCGATGACACCAACACTAAGGCTAGCAATAATAATGATTCTCTCCTGAGCGTCATTCAGCTTCGTTGATGAACACACGCACCGGAAACAGGTTGGGATCAGAGCAAGCTTCAATTCGCTAACGGCAAGGATATCGACTGCGATTACACATGAACATCATGCCCAAGTCAACAACCAACAAGACGAGTTTTCCCTCGGGGATGCCATGCGTGCAGGTTCATTCATACAGTATCGATGCAAACACCAAACCCAAATTAATAACCGTCATGAATCGCCTGTCCTGAATGCCAACATGTGAAGGTTCGTTCATGGGGGGCCACGCGGTGAAGATGATCGGGTGGGGCACGGACGAGGTGAGCGGCGAAGACTATTGGCTCATCGCCAACTCCTGGAACCCGTCGTGGGGGGAGGGTGGTCTCTTCCGGATCCTTCGCGGCGTCAACGAGTGCGGAATCGAGGGCCAGATCGTGGCCGGCGAGGTGTAACTGTAACAGGCGTGCAGACAGCGTCTATCCTTGATGCCAACCACCATAATTCTACCGCCTATCATGATGTTGAGATTTTTACGGCATGCCGCGTCGTGGAAATCAATCATGTTCGTCCACCTGTGATACCCCCGCTAACTAGTGTCGTGATGGTTATCCAGCCATGTGTGATGGGCTAGGTTTATTGGTAGTGGCCCCGGATGTTGCGGCGAATGACGATGGACATATCCATGCTCTTTTTCTTCCTCGACTTGCGAGGTGTCCCTGTTGATTCCAACGTGTTGGATTTTGACGGCGGGGGGGGGTTGTTATTTTCGGTTGCCGGTTTGTTGTCCGGTCAGTACATGGCGACAAGTCAAGAGCGTGGTTGTTTGGTTTGCGTTGATGGCCCGAGGAACCTGGTGCGTGGTATTTTGTTCGGGTGCAGAGCTCGCTTCTCGACTGACATGTTCCTCCCCGTGTAGGACAATCAACAAGCTAACCGGGAAGGATGCATGCATGACATAACCGTACATGTTTTGATGTGTTTGGTTTTGTGCCTTCGAACCGTCGGGTCGGGATCGACCCAAGATTGTGGGGAGGGCATCGATGGGTTGGGGAATGGCGTTTTTCAGCCCCTTCCCTCCCGCCCACCGGCATTCTCGACGCTGGGGGATGCTGACGCTGGGGGATGCTGTTGGGTGGTACCGTAAGGCGCCACGGACGCTTTGTATATAGTCTATAGCAGCACGGAAGTACCGCGCGGAGCCCTAGTAGATGCATGTCGGTGGTATTGATAGAATCCGATTGAATAGTGTGAGCTGCTATCCAGGCTATGGAGAAGGGATTTGGAACAGCGCTCCTGGATTGCTGGGCGTGGCGTAGATGCTTGTTCACGGGAAGGACGTTTCGAGAGAGATTTTCAAGTAAATGGTGTTGGCTAACATGTCGATCACTGTGGGAAACAAAGTTCCGCTTGTGCCATGGTAGGTCGTTCCTTCTTTGGCAACGCGAAGAGTGTAAGAGGATGGGTTGTTGTTGGCGATTTTTGCCAAAAGCCCGAAGCTTGGAATGTTGCATACACGGAGGAAATTCCATTCGAGGGTTGTCTCCGAGGAGATGAGCTCAAGTCTTCACATTGAGGCTTAGGTGATGCCCCCTCGACAGGGTAGGGATGAGTCCCCTCTTCTTATGCTCTTTGGTCGTCTCCTATTGACCCTCATTCCTGTTCCGACATGGAATATACGTGCGTGAGAAATGGATGAGGGTGGGGGGTAGGGTCGGGAAGGGTTGTGATGAGATACTTACATTTTGTCCTAAATCCCTGACTTGAATGCTAGAAAGACCGTTCGGCTTTTCTCCGGAAGACAAGCGCTTCGAATAGTTTGTCACGCAAGTATGATATCCATCCATTGTATCTTAAGTTCCTTAGGGATTTCAGTTTCTTCTGTTGCGGAAACAAAACGCTACCCTGTTTTGAAGGTACTCCTGTATCTCCGAACACATAAAACACGAAAGGCCCCACGACGCTTTTTTGTAACCAACCCTCGGTACTTGATTTTAGACAAGACCGTCGAATCAACCACATCGCGCGCCCACGAGCCAAGTGTGCAAATCAACAACGAAATTTCTTCTACAGCTCTCCACAACGGCAACTGCTTGCGTGCTCTTCCCCGTCTTACGCGCGACCACAGAGAACCCGTCCTCCCTGAATCGCGGGGAGGTCACGGTGTTTTATCTCTACATGCAGCAAGTTTAACGCTTCCCGCTGATTTCGGTCACTCCGTTCCTCCCGTCGATTTCAGTTTGTCCGGTCATCGCGCATGTTGCAGCACCTCCACAACTTGCGGAGGTGGGTCCATGAAGCTGTGTGAGGCACACGACCAAACACACATAGTCATCGGTGCAAGTTTGCCTATGAAGTTTCAATCAAGGCCATGCGAGCACCCATCCCACTGCGGAACGGTTCTCGCGGCGTTTCGAAGAAAACCCGAAAACCGTCGTTTTTGCCGAGGCGGCCACCACACCACTAATTGAGCACACCGCAGCCAGCAGACCCAGAGGCAGCAGACGCCAACAAGCGAGGACACCCTGTGGATCGCCTTCTCGAGCTTTTGGCATCATGTCAACGAACCAGACTGCTGCTGGTGCTACTGGTGGGTCTTCTGCCGCTGTCGGCGTTGGTTCTACTGCTGTCGGCGCATCTTCGGCTGCTGTATCAGGCAGATCAAGTGCTTCAGGGAGTGCTGCTGCTGCCTCTGGCGCTGGTGGTCCTGCCGCTGCTGCCGCCGCTGTTGCTGCTGTTGCTGCTGCTTCTGCTTCTGCTGCTGGTGCTGGTGCTGCTGCTGTAGTTGCTGTTCTTCATGGATGTCATCAGTTGCTTAGCGTTCGACTGGAGATTCGCGGCGTTGCCTCGAAGCATTTGAAGTTACACTGCTGATGTTCGCCGCTGCTTGGGAACGCGCCTGCCGCTGCCGTAATTGCGACAAAATTGTTGTTGTCTCACTCAAAACTTGCTTCAGGCGTGCATTCATCATCATGGACGCTATGTAACCAAATGTGTGTCGCTCTATTGTCTTTCACTTTTCTGAAATCGGCCGTACACAGCCGGTTTGGGGATAGACTACATCTGCTCCTCCCGGGGACAAAATCATGCTGTCCCCGCGTCTCGAAGGTCCCTTTGTTCGCGTACACGTCCCCAATCGTATAATAACATACAGGCATTGATGTAAACATCAACATTTTTTTGGGGGGGGAGGGCTGTATCACGTAGTACACCAAAGTTCTGCGAAAACTGGCCCTCTCCTGTGGATAATCTCATTACAAAGCCCGGCTTGTCAATTTTTCACGCCGGGGATGACAACAATTGATCCCCTGGGTCAAAAATGTTTTTTTTTTTTTGTATGATGGAATGTATCATATGAAGACCACATGCTGAAGGTTAGACGCTCAAAACACCCGTTTTGGGCAATCGCAATATTCACGTCGGGCTTATGCAGTTGGATTTTCGAACCGGGCTTATCTCTGAGGCGGAGAAAGTATGTATTGATACCAGCATACAGGCACTCGGAAAGAACAGTACCGCCGCCGTGTTTAGAGCATTCACCACCAGCAGGGGTTTAAACCGGAAAAATTGCTGTACTGGTGTTGAACTGCAACGATTATGATGTGATAGTAAAGACAAGTGACGACAAGAAGTAAGTCAGGATTTATTTGGATTTCACGGGTGGCCAACACACCGGGTTGTAGGGGCACTTTTGGCAACCTGAATCGATATTAATTTTGGCACGAATTGCAACCTCCCCACCTTGGGTAATCCTCGCAATGCGGCGATGGCCAGGTTGTGCAAGATATACCTTTCTTGGAGGTTGCGCGTTGTTTACAAGCCGGATAGGGAGCATGTTGCCGATCGTAGTGCAACGTGTACCCTTCCTTGGTGGTTGGTGCACTGCTAACAAGCTGGACAGGGGGCAGACTGCCGGTGGCGGCGCAAGGCGTACCCTTTCTTGGAGGTTGGCCCCCCATGCAAAAGTCGGTTAGACTAATAATGGAGCTTGTCTATGGTATGACAAGGTGTACCTTTTCTTGCAGGTTGGCGCGCGTCCCATAAGCCGGTTGGGAGGCAGGTTGCCGGTAATAGTGCAAGGTGTACCCTTTCTTGCAGGTTGACGCGTTGCGCACAACAAGTCGGTGAGGGGGCAGATTGCCGATGGTATTGCAATGCGTACCCTCTCTTTGAGATTGCGCACGATGCGGCTGGGCTGCGACAAACAGCAGTGCTCAACATTGTGGTGGCGGGTTCAATTCCCCTGCACTACGTTTTTTTGTTTGTTCATGTTTCATTTGTTTTTTCGCCCCCTGTATTCGAATCACTAGACTGCGATTTTACCGTCGGAACATTCTCGAGCAAACCTCTGAAACAACGACATCCCGTGCCCATGCATCATACACATTGCCAGTAGCTCTAGCTTAAACCCATCTCCGTCCGCGGTGTATCATCTCTACCCAGGGTCGTCAACATCCCAAGTTGCACGAAAACATGTCGTTGTAAGGGAGAATCTAAAGGTACTTCAAGTTGAAACAATACGTACATACCCTTCCGAACGTCGTTCTGTGTATTGAATGTCCCCCCATAACAGCATGCCCTCGCCCGTGACCGTCAGCGACGTTGAACAGGGAGACGACCCACAATCTCCGCAGTAAACTACTTTTGTTCGTTGTGAGGGAAAATAACTCAGCCGGACGTAGCGGCAGCAGTGTTGTCCAAACGCACTGAACAACATATTGGTGAAATTGAGAGCGAAGCATGAAATTGAGAGCGAGAGCCGAAAATGATAAAATTCGGGTCCAGACGCCTCTTGCCATTTCTTACGGGGCGGGCTCTTCCAAGAAGCGGCGCAAATTGAAGGTCTCATCAGCAGCGTCACGAGCATATGTGTGTCATTGGATGCTGCAGCTAGGAGCTAGATAAGTTGCTAATTTTCCCCAGATTGGCTATTCCTGCCTCAAACTGTTGCAGGGCGGTTTGGCCTCGGGCGGTGGGCTCTGCTGTAGCTTCTGCTTGCCGCTGTAACTCCACATCGAGAGACTCCCACAGGATGATGACCAGGGTATCTGCTTGTAGCTACGCGCTGGCCCTTCAATTCAAGCTACACAGCAAGCTCCACCTCTCAGCAGTAGTCCAGCTGCAGCACATCGCGCAATCTCGCTCTCAATCAGATGCTTCGCTCTCAATTTCACCAATATGCTGTTCCTGGTAAAAACGACCGTCTCTCCCGACACGAAACAACGAACCTCCCCCCACCCTGGCCGCCCAAATTCTACAACAAACTCGTGTCAAGAAAAAACGTCACTGCCTGAAACGGAGCCAGCTGCGGCAGTGGTCGGTGTCCTCCAAAAACAATGCAGGGACTGCAGAAAAATACCTCTCTACTTTCCCAACACCATCGAAACAACTCCCCCCTCCCCTCCCCCCCAAGAGCCACAATTCGCAAAAACGGCGCGGACGAAGCCAAGAGGCAGAAGCGACAGGTTCCAAACGCCCTGGCACACACAACATAGCAAGAAAACACCTAGCTCTCATCCCGCACCAGGCGCCCTCATGCACCAGCGAGAGCAACAAGCATATCATAGCACCATATGACTAAAAAAACAGTTCTGTGAGACATGGCGAGCGGGGTTTTCCGCCTCCTCCGTCAAAGCTTCGACCCGTTGTGAACGTCATGAGGACCCGAGAAAACGCTTTGAACGATGTTGCAGCGGAGGTCCCGGCGACTCGACCTGGAGGTTACCGATCAGCAGCGAACATTGAAGTGTGAGAGGAGGGTAATAGTGGGCCGTCGAGGAATGGAGTGCATGTTCTCCCCCTTTGCTGCAGTATAGTTCTTGGTATAGCTGACACATGTACATTGTCCACAATAATATTTGCAAGCAGGCATGAGGGGGGGGGGCACAACGGACAGCATACCCGCAGGTCGTAGAATACATCAGAGACGAGGATAAACTACGCACCCCCACAGAAGTAAATTGAAGGGAGGCGAGGTACATTCAAACATCAGGAGTCGCCGACGGACAAGCTGGGATGAGGAAGGGTGTACATTATAGGGAGCCACGGGCGTAACGGATACCCGACAAGAAACACGCAAGCATCCAACATCATCGCAGGCAGGCAGAGAGAAAGAGGCAGGAAGAGAGGCACGATTTTTGGAAAGGACAAGACACATGACATACCTTGTCAACACGGTTCAGGTGTCCGCCAAGACTTTGTAGCCAGCGGAATCATCAAGACTATCGCTTTTCTCGCTCGGAGACGAAGAGCATCCCCGTCTCCATCTGTAGTTTACCCTCCCCCCCATCCGCCCCCGCCCCCCCCGGTTTTGCCATCGGGGTTGGGTTTTCGTCGCTTGGCAACGACGTTGAAAAACAAGCCAATTCACTTCGTGAGCTCGGCAACCAGGTTTCCGTTTTTTTTTTACCTCTTTTTTGGCGGTAACCATGATGGTGGTCGAGTAGATCATGTTGTGCGGGGTGGAGAACCCGCACTCCGCGCAAGGGCGATGGTCGCACCACGTTGTGTTAAAATGGTCAAGCACCCTCGAGGCAGTTACACAGCAGTGCTAACAACTGTCTCTGGAAGTGAAAGCACCAGAAGATAAATTAAGTCATACGCAGCTGTCATCCGCATGCAAGGAAGTAAGCACAAGATGCCGAAAACCATTATTATAGCAGGATGCAGCGCACCCTTCATGCGACTCGCCGAATATCTCAAGGCGCTTCGCGCTTGGTGATGTGAGAGCCTGGTCCGGTGAGAACCCGGCGTGCTCCGTCCCGGCTTTGTAGGGATGCGAGGTCAATGGTCTAACGACTACGGCATGCACGACCGTGTTTACGCCCCCTCCCCTCCATCCGCCCCTGGGTCACCTCCTCCACCTCCTGCCCTCTCGTCCGCGAAGAAGCACGGCTTGAGGTAGCGCTTAGCGCCGTCCTGAGGATCAATACTCTCGGTGGAGAGGATCGGCCCAACGTATTCCAAGCCGAACCGCATGAAGCTCT